GCCAGGCACAGAATTACGAGAAAGAACTATACCCTAGTTTTCCCCACTGAGTAGAAAGTGCTTGTCAGAGTGGGTTAATCCACATTTAACCTTGTGACTTTAACAGTGAAAGGCAGCAATGGCAGGTTCCCAATGTGAAAGTACATATTAGAACTCCTTTCCGCGTATCTGTTTTGACATTTTTATTAACAATTTGAGGGAGGAGTTAAATTGTAATCAAACACAGAGGTTACATTATGCCAATAGAGGGGTTGCGTTGAATGACAGAACCACAGAATTACACAACAGCAGGACCCAAAGAAGTGTCTGAAGTTAATCATAACTCCCCATTTTACAGGTGAGAAAACTGAGGCTCAGAGAGGTCAACCAACTCCCGCCAACTACTCCTGGAATGAAGGGTGAAGCGGTTGGGTTTTAATCTTCCTACTTTCTCTTTTAGAATATATGAAAGCTGTATCACGATTCAAGATTCAAGTAGACATTTTTTTAAAAAAATGGAAGCAGTGAGCTGATGAGACCAGATACAATTCAATCAGGTCAAATGTGTAAGGACCTACATGTTCGGTCCACAAGAGCCCACTGTACAAGCACAGTGTGGAGCCTGTGCGCCCTAATCAGCAGCGCTTGTGAGAAACACTTAGAGATGTGACTTGGCTGCAGGCTTGTGGTGTCAGCAGTGTGGTGTAGCTATGAGAAAAAGGCAACGCGGCCATAGGTGGCATCGCTGGAAACAGTTTACGGAAGACAGGTCTGAGTCCTGTTGAACCTTTCCGTCTGTACCTGCGACTCTGCCTTCAGTCCCAGGCGTCAGATTTGAGAAATGATCTAGACAAACTGGCTCAGCGCTAGGATGGACTTCCATGAAGAATGGTCCGAGGAAGTTAGGGAACTACAAAGGCCTGTAATGAAGAACTTGGATCTTGGCGTCAGACCGCCTGGGTTTAATCCCAGCTCTGCCAATCACTGAGGATATGTTCATTAGGCCTGAATCGCACTGTCTGTAAATGAATTATAACAGGACCTCTGCCCCTTTGGAGATAAGGGAGGTGGCACAAGTCCCGTGGTTCGCACATCACTGGCACAAAGCAAGCGCTCCATGGGCGTGAGCTGCTGTTAGGATTAAGGAAGCAAAGTGATGCGGGGATAGCGGTAGCAACCTAAGGGCTGTGGTGGATATTAAAGGAGCTCAGCACGTGTTGACATGCTGAGTGCCTGGAACAAACCTGATGGTTACTGCTGTCTGCATTAGAGGCCTAAGGTTCCACGGCCTGGTTAGGGACAAAATACACCCTGACAGGCTAAGGTCCCCCCATCCTGATCAGTTATCCCTTGAAGGATGCTGGGGGGGGGAGCGAGTGATGGCGGTCACTCGGGCATTCTAGGGGGCACTCACTCGCTGACCACCTGGGAACGGTGACTTGGCCTTAGCCATGGATTCACAACTTAGCTGCTTTCTGGGCCACGGTCATTCACACCTGTTCCGATGACCACTAAGCAGTGTGATCACTCAGGGCACTCCTGGGCTGGTCACTCAGGCTTGCTCTGGCCACGGTCCCTGAGAACTGTCCTGCGGGCAGCCGCTTGGGAACCGTTCGAAGTGGAGGCGCTCCCGGTGCTGCCCCCTCTCCTCCTCGCCCTGCCACGCGTGAAAAGGCGCCTGTCCTGGGCCCTGCGGACCCTGCGGGACCCCGACCGGCTCCCG